CTCCTCCTCCTCTCCTCCTCCTTCCTCCTCCTCCTCCTCCTCCTCCCTCCTCCTCCTCCTCCTCCTCCTCCTCCTCCTCCTCCTCCTCCTCCTCCTCCCTCCTCCCTCCTCCCTCCTCCCTCCTCCCTCCTCCCTCCCCCCTCCCTCCTCCTCCTCCTCCTCCTCCCTCCTCCCTCCTCCCTCCTCCCTCCTCCCTCCTCCCTCCTCCCTCCCTCCCTCCTCCCTCCTCCCTCCTCCCTCCTCCCTCCTCCCCTCCTCCTCCCTCCTCCCCTCCTCCTCCTCCCTCCTCCCTTCCTCCCTCCTCCTCCTCCTCCTCCTCCTCCTCCTCCTCCTCCTCCTCCTCTCTCCTCCTCCTCCTCCTCCTGACTCCTCCTCCCTCCCTCCCTCCTCCTCCCTCCCTCCCTCCTCCTCCCCCCATCCTCCTCCTCCTCCCCATCCTCCTCCTCCTCCTCCTCCTCCTCCTCCTCCTCCTCCTCCTCCTCCTCCTCCTCCTCCTCCTCCTCCTCCTCCTCCTCCTCCTCCTCCTCCTCCTCCTCCTCCTCCTCCTCATTCCTTCCTCCTCCTCCTTCCTCCCTCCCTCTCTCCCTCCCTCCTCCTCCTCGATGCCCGAGCCGAGGCCCGGGAGCGAAGAGGGGGGCGCACGGCTCCCGGCGCCCCGAGGGGCGCAGGAAAGGAGCGAGGGAAGCGGGCGAGCCAGCAGCCCGACGGCCTGGGGAAGGCCACAGAGAGCCACAGAGAGCCACAGGCCACCAGCATAAGCATTAGGAGGAAACAGTGGCTCCACGCGCTGTCCAAGCCAGGCCCGCACTGCCAATCCGAAAGAAGGTGAACCAATAAAAAGAACCCCTGAGTTAGGAAGGCCAAGAACATTAGGGAGAGAGAGGGGGGGGTCTTTTCTGCAGCTGGATCCGACCAAGCCGCCCAGAACTGCGATCCCTGATGCGAAGACGGGAACCTCAGTGAGGCCAGGCCTTCATCGTGCTATTATGGTTCGGAGTTGTTTGTGCTCGACAAAAAGAGGCGCAGCCTTTATCTCGGCGCCGAGCGAGGGGGGGAAAGAGAGGAGGGGCGGGCCTGCTCGGAAGGCTCGGAGGTTATCCTGCCTTCTGAGAAGTGTCCTCTGAGCCTTCCCCGCAGACGCAGAGAACTTCTCAAAGGCGCGAGGGCTTCTGAGAAGCTCCAGGGCCTTCTGAGAAGGCCTTCTCCTCCTCGCTTCCCCCCCTCGCTCGCCGCCGAGCACCGTGCCTTCCTCGCCACAAGTCCGAGCGGACCCGCGCGGCCAGACCGAACAGGCAGCAGGCTGAGCGGCACTGCCCGTGGCACAGGCCGATCCACGGGCAGCATGAGGAAAAAGCCAACGAGGGGCAACGGGTGAAAGTGAAGTCCAGCCTGGCAAGAAGGCCGCAGGCAGGGCTAGAGTGGAGGCCCGTCCACGAGAAGACCTTCCGCGAGAAGCCCAACCCTGAGACCCCAGGACGTTCATCGATGTCTGGGTGTGGGACCGTTACGCTTCCCATCGCAAAACCATCGAAACCCAAGAAACCCAGGGCACCCTGGAGGCAAGCAGGGTGCTTCTTGGTGTGGGTCTCCACTGTAACCCCTCGAGCGCGAAGACCCTAGTCTGGAACCACCTTCGCCCGAGAGCAGAGGAGACGCCACCGAGGAGAGACGCCACCACGAAGAGGAGAAAGACGAGGAGGAGGGGAAGAGGAGAGAGCCACCAAGAAGAGGAGAGAAGGAGGAGAAGAGGGGAGACGCCAAGACGAGGAGGAGGGGAAGAGGAGAGAGCCACCAGGAAGAGGAAGACGAGAAAGAGAAGAAGAGCAGAAGAGGAGAGACGCCACCAAGAAGAGGAGGGGGACACGAGGAGCAGGAGCGGGCAGCGCGCTCGCCATACGATGCGTGGCCGGGCGAGCGGGAGCAGGAGCGACGAGGCAAGAGCTGCGCGCGCCTCTCCCTCGAGGCCGAGACGGCTGACGCTGGACCATCCCGCTCGGTCACAACGTGCGCACCTGTTGACTACCTACCAGACCACCCCAACCCAACCCGAAGACCCGAATTTCGGGTTGGGGGGGGGACGGGCTTCATGTGTTTTCTCGATGTTCCACGCCCCCCCCCCCCCCAGCTGGAAATGGAGGGCAAATCGGGGCCTTCGGGTAGGGTTGGGGTGGTTTGGTGGGCAGTGACCTGTGTACACGGTGCACCGCCAAAGCCCCCCCCCACTGACAACAGAACAGCAGGGAAACGGATCCGCGGCAAGATCCTGGTCCCGATTCGGCCATGTTTAGGTCGGGCGTGTCCTCCTACAGGCGGATTATGGACGAAAACTAAAAATGTCAAAACAAATAGTCCAAAAAATAATCAGAAAATCGCCCCCTGACTATTCTTGGACCATCTTCGAAGAGAGGGGGGCCTCCAAGAGAGGGGGGCGTCCAAGAGGGGGGCGTCCAAGAGGGGGGGGCGTCCAAGAGAGGGGGGCGTCCAAGAGAGGTGAGGGGGGGGACCGAGGGATGCATCGAAGGAAGGAGAGGGCCCATGAGATTTGAGGAGATGTCACGGCCCTGGCCATCATACCGAACTCCCCTAGTCATCACACCCGTCTTGGCCGCCCCCGAAAAACGCGGCTGACGGTTCGTTGTCGTTGCGATTTCCAAGCTCTGGAGGGCCTTACTGGGCCCTGGGATTGCCAAAACGACTCGGAATGAAAAACCGGTGAAAGGCACGGGGTCGAAAAATCGAAAGATCCAGGGGTTCACGTCGCGAAAACAAATACACGACGGCGGAGGTCTAGCGATCAGTCAGATCAGCGGCCTGACCCAGCCCTGATCGGCGGATCGGGATATTCTAAGTCTTGAACCAAGCTCAAACAGGAATCCACTCGCTGTTGCTAGCGAGAACATGACGCCACCGATGAGCATCTTCTCCAAAACCGATTCTTCGACGCCCATCAACACACATGCCACAATTCCAGCACCAAGTACTTTGCCACCGATATAATAAACCCACCACACGTACAACAGAACCTCTGCTGGTACTGTGTTCGTCTGGGCGAAACAATAAACAACGTCCTTTTCTGGCCTTTTCGTGCGGGTTATCTTGCTGATGAGGTTCTGCATCTTCCGCACAGGCTCGGTCTTGTTGATGGCCTCCTGCTCCTGCTTCATCCCCTGGATGATGGCGTGGATGGCGTCGAGGAGGGCATAGTACAGCCACAGGAGGATGAAGCTCTGCCCCAGCTCTGTGTAGACCATGATCTCCGTCGCCGCGCTCTCGTCGTTGACCAGCTTCTTGACCGCACTCCGGAACAGCGCCATGGCGGCCAGAACCATCGGCCAGAACGACAGGCGGTCGATCCCGCAGCACCTCCGCGACGACCTGCCGCTGGAGCCCGCGCCTCGCGGCGTGTGCACCGGGGGCCAGGCAAACAGAGCGCGCCCGCCCCGCCCCCCCGGTCAGGAGGGGGCGGGGGGGAGAGAAGGAGTGCAAGCCTCATCCTCGTCGTCGTCATCGTTGTCGCTGTCGGTGTCGTTGTCACTGGTATCATTGCCGTTGCTATCGCTATCGAGGTCGGACGTTGTTGTCGTTGTCGCTGAAGGGGCACAAGCCTCGTCCTTCTCCACCCCTCTTCCCCATAGCTGGTTCCCTCGCGGCTGGGCGTCTCGCTCGAGACGCCCTCGCGGCGTGAGGTGGGCACCCGGGTGGAGCGCGCGGCACGGGTGCCTTTCACAGGTGTGGCTGTCGCTCCGGCGCCGCGCACATGCGTCGTAAGAGCTTCCAGCTGCGAAATCCGAGGAGGAGGAGGAGGAGGAGGAGGAGGAGGAGGAGGAGGGGGCGAACGGCCTTACACCGTCCCCGGGTGCGTGCCCTGAAACAAGATTCCGCGGCGCGGACTCTCCTTGCTGTTTGCTGTTGTTGTCGTGGTCCTCGTCCGTGACCCGCCCGCGACCCGCCCGCGACCCGACCGCGACCCGCCCGCGACCTGCCCGCGACCCGCCCGCGGCCCGCCCGTGACCCACCCGCGACCCGCCTGCAACCCACCCACATTACTTTGACGAGCAGTAGGAAGAGGAGGAGGAGGAGGAGGAGGAGGAGGAGGAGGACGCGGCGCCTGCGGCGGACTCGATCGTTCGTGCGGCGGAGGCCTGCGATGGGCTTCCTCTGAGCCTCTCGCTGACTGCCGACGAGCCCGCCGCCCCCTCGCTCTCGTCCGCGGCTGGGAGGGGAGGGGAGTCGTTTTCAAATGTGGCCCTCGCCTCAGGCCGCGCCGATTCGTCTTAAAAGAGTTAGGGCTCTACAAGAATAGAGAGATATGTCGTTTTTCAACATGTGGCTCTCTCCTTGCGCCGCGCAGAGTCGCCGATGGATGGAGAAAGGTTCCTTGTTTGAAATGGGACCCGGCGACTCCTTGTCAAAATGGGGCTCTCGCCGAAGACCTCCCAAATGTGCCGCGCAAGGATTGCAGTATTGAGCGAAAAGCTTGCCTGAAGGCAGAGCACGCGCAAAGGTTGTACAGATTGAGAGCGGCTCCCGTCACAAACGGGGCTCTCGCTTGACTCGCACTTGGACGTTACGCCCCCAGGTCTTGTAGGTGGAAGGCTCTTCCTCCTCCTCCTCCTCCTCCTCCTCCTCCTCCTCCTCCTCCTCCTCCTCCTCCTCCTCCTTCTCCTCCTCCTCCCCCCCTATCAATCATGGTACAAGGATGGTGCCTGGGCGGCTCCTTGTTTGCAGTACGTGGCTCCGCCTGCATGGTATATGGTATGTCCAGGGGCCGCTCCTCTCTCCCGTGGGCGCTCCTGGCTGGGAGAAACAACGCGTGAAGGGACTTCTCGGGAGGGGGCTTGCCACAGGAGTCGGCGGCGAGCGAGGGGCGAGCGAGGGGGGGAAGTGCGAAGGAGAAGGCCTTCTCAGAAAGCGGCGGGACTTCTCAGAAGCCTCGCGCCGCCTGAGAAGTTGTGTTGTGTGTTTCGGGGAAGGCTGAGGAAGCTTCTCAGAAGGACGGTGGACTTCCGAGCATTCTGAGAAGGCCTTATCCTTCTCGCCTCCCCCCCTCGCCCGCCGCCAAGTGAGGGTGTGCTGCAGCATCCTTGGTGTATCTTGAGTTGGCTCTGGCCTTCATCCTCCTCTTCCGACAGCGACGACTCGTACAGTGGGGCTCGACCACAAGAAACCTTCCACAGGAAACCCACCCCTGAGACCCCAGGACGTCCCTTGATTTTGGTCTGGGAACGTAACGCTTCCTCCCATCGCAAAGACATCGCACACCAAGAAACCCAGGGCACCCTGGAGGCAAGCAGGGCGGTGGGATTAGGAAAGAGAGGGTTGCAAGGGGGGGGGAAGGAAGAAAGGGGAGCACAGGCCCAGGAAGGGGAGCATCGGCCCCAGATCCGCGACATACGTTGGCGATGCGCCCCCCCCCCAGCGGAACCCGCGCATGCCAGTGCAGGGTCGGCACCCGGGCCCAGATCGGCGACGACTGGGCGAAGGCAAGTGGGACCCGATGTCACCCCCCCCCCTCCCAGACATCTGTCCCTCGGCGGCGAGGCGGAGACCGCCCGCACCCGCGCGGGGCTCACCGAGGCAACCGAAATGCGAATTCCCCCCCTCCCAGACATCCGATGAGGAGGAGGAGGAGGAGGAGGAGGAGGAGGAGGAGGAAGAGCCGACGTCGTGTATTTGGTCGCCACGTGGCCCTTCTTGGAAGTCTGGACAATGTTTGCTGGCCGGAGACCGGCGTTTCACCCCGAACCGTTCTCTGACGTCCCCGGGCCCAGGGCCTGGCAGGACCCCCCCGGGAGCCGAGAGCTGGGAACAGACCTGCCGTCGTGAATCAGGTCGGGCGTGTCCTCCTGCAGGGGGACCTTGGGCAAAATACCAAAAAACAGGAGCCAAAAAAGACCCCCAAATAGTTAAAATTATCCCAGTGCGACCCTACCTAGGAGTTGGAGCATTGAGGAAAGCAACATCTACATCTACACCGACAGCTACATTTACATCTACACCTGCATCTACATCTACATCAATATCAACAGCGACAGGACACGGCTCCTGCAAGAGCTGCAGGCTGTTCAGCACTGCTCGCGGCTCCTGCAAGAGCTGCAGGCTGTTCAGCACTGCAGGTCCGGTTTTGCGTTGCTTGTGCTTTGCTTTGTTGTTGTTGCTGTTGCGTTGCCTTTTCGTTGCTGCTATGCTATGCTATGCTATGCTATTATATGCTATGCTATGCTATGCATTGCTATGCTGCGCTGTGCTATGCTATGCTATGCTATGCTATGCTATGCTATGCTGCGCTATGCTGCGCTATGCTGCGCTGTGCTGCGCTATGCTGCGTTATGCTGCGCTATGCTATGCTAGGGTATGCTCGGCTGCGCTGTGTTATGCTAGGCTATGATATGCTATGCTATGCTGCGCTATGCGATGCTATGCTATGCTATGCTGCGCTATGTTATGCTATGCTATGCTATGATATGCGATGATGTGCTATGCTATGCTGCGCTATGCTATACTATGCTAGGCTATGATATGATATGGTATGATATGATATGATATGATGCGCTATGCTATGCTGTGCTATGATATGATATGTTGCGCTATGCTATGCTATGCTATGATATGATATGCTATGATATGACATGTCATGCTATGCTATGCTGACCTATGCTATGCTATGATATGATGTGCTGTGCTATGCTCAGCAATGCTATGCCATTATATGATATGCTATGCTGCGCGATGCTATGCTATGTCATGCTATGCTATGCTGACCTATGCTATGCTATGATATGCTATGCTATGCTATGCTATGCTTGGCTATGCTATGATATGTTATGCTAATGCTGCGCTGCGCTAAGCTAAGCTCAGGTAAGCTAAGCTATGCGAAGCTAAGCTAAGCTAAGCTAGGCTAGGCTAAGCTAAGCTAAGCCAAGCTAAGCCAAGCCAAGCTAAGCTAAGCTAAGCTAAGATGCGATAAGCTAAGCTAAGCTAAGGTAAGCTAAGCTAAGCTAAGCTAGGCTAGGCAAAGCTAAGCGAAGCTAAACTAAGCTAAGATGAGATAAGCTAAGCTTAGCTTAGCTTAGCTAAGCTAAGCTTAGCTCAGCTAAGCTGGGTGAACCCAGGGGGCGCAACTGGGGGAACCGCGGGGCGGATGCCGGGGGAACCGCCCGGGGCGAGGAACACTGCCCGGCCCTTTAAGCTTATAAAGTACTAGAACCACGCGCGCGCTTCGCGCGCGCTTAGGTTCTAGCTAGGAGGCGAGCTTGAGTCAACGAAAGTCGCAGGGAAGGGGGCAGGGGGAAGAAGGCCAGAGAGCGCTGAAGGATACAAAGAATGGAACCCTCTTGTGATTTTGTGGGGGGCCTCGTCCGGCCGCTCGCTGGGAGTTTGACGTAGCTTCTCGGGAGCCTCTGAACCTGTCGGGGGCCTCCTGGAAGCAGGTTCGAAGCATTTTGGGGGCCGATTTGGGGCTTCTCGGGGCCTCCTTTGGGCCTCTTGGGGGTCTCCTGGGGCCTCTTGAGGGGCCTCCTTGGGGCCTCCTGGCGGCCTCTTGGGGCGGAAGGCTCGAGCGTGCGGTTCGTGGTCCCCCTCTGGGCCCCCTCTTGGGCCCGTCTTGGGGCCCTCTTGGGCCATCTTGGGCGCCTCTTGGGCCGTCTTGGGGCCCTCTTGGGCTGTCCTGGGGCCCTCTTGGAAGCTTCTTGGGCCGTCTTGGGGCGGTCTTGGGCGCCTCTTGGGCCGTCTTGGACGCGGTGAAAACCCAAGAGGCGAACATGCGAAAATATACGTTTTCCCATAGGAATGGCACGATTTTTGCTTCTTGGGCCTCTCTTGGGCTGCCTCTCGGAGCGTCTTGGAGGCTTCTGGGACCTTCTTGGTGTCATGACAGGCGTCTTGGAAGGCATCTGGAGCCATCGGAGCGCGTTCCGAAGCCGCCTGCGAACGATCTTGGACGGCGTCTGGCGGTCCGACGAGCCTCCGGGCCCCCCGGGGCCCACATTTGTGGTCGAGGTCCCGGCCCCGGGCCCCCGGACCCGGTGCGCCGTTATATGTATAAGAACCCTTCTAGGCAGAGCCTAGGTAGGGAAATAGTCACGAAATCGTCCCCATGCTATTTTTTAACTATTCTGGAATGTTCCTCCTGTAGAGGGACAGGCCCGCCTTAGGTCGTAAATTCGTCACATCGCGAGGATGTCAAGGCTTGGCCAGTAGCCCTCCCCCTTCACCTCCCTGCGGCTGACGTGCGTTTTTTTGTTGTTTGCACCCCGGGGTGCCGTTCACGGGCAGCTCCCACCAGAACGTGGTCCGGCGGATGTGCACCATAAGCAGGTTCACCTCGGGGGCGCGCGGGCCGGAAGGACTCGATTAGGGTGCTGATGATTATGATGGTCATCATGATTGTGATAATGATGATGTGATGATATGATGATGATGATGATGATGGTGGTGATGATGATGATGATGATGATGATGATGATGATGATGATGATGATGATGATGATAGTTCAGCTTAAGCAGGCGTCAATGCTTCAGCTGGGCAAAATAACTCAGATGCGCTCGAAACTAATGGACGTTCAATCGGCTTCTGTGTATATGTGCACTTGACGTAAACTGTAGCCATTGTGCTGCCATTTCTTCCCATAATTCTCAAACATTGATTCGCTCGTCGAACCTACAAGAAAATACGTAGAACGTTCGGCAGATCTACGACAGGTCCGCGTCTTTGTGTTCCAGATCCGACGAACATTTATGATGTTAGGGGCAAATCAACTCTATAATCGATCCCCTACTCGAAGGACGAAGAGAAAGAGAGCCAAAAGACGATACATCGGCGTCCTTCTTCGGCGTTGGAGCCCCCCTCACCTGGCGCGATGTCGCCGGGAAACGGGGCGTTGGGGAGGGGGGGCGCAGCGCCGACCAGCAAGAGATCTGAGCAGACCTCCGACGGCTTTCTCACGAGCGGCGATGGGACGCACGAAGACATACTAGTACTATACGTCCTCCTTGGAGGCTCGCGTCCGACCCGAACAGACAGTATACCCATCTTGTAGTATATCGTTTCCAGAGCGGTGTGGCCAGAAAGCGCACGCCATGACGCACAGACTAAAGACTTCTCGGTGCGCGCGTCGCCCCCCCGGGGGGGGGGGGGCGACGCACCTATAGTGCGAATGTGTTGGGGTGACGCCTAGGCGAGCCTGTCCGCATTCGCGCCCTCACGATCTGGATTCTGGGGCGCGCTCCCGCGGATACGCGGTCGCACGGATGGGTGCCGCGCGGGGCAGCCCCCGAGAACGCCCAGCATCCGCGGGGCCGCGTTACGGGGGCCCGGCCCGCGGGGCCGCGGGTGCGGATGCGTTCTCCGTCCACGAGCGTGGGTTGCCGCCTTTTGGCGTCGGGTGAAATCGCCCCCCCTCACCGCCTGGTCTCTGTGATACCCCGCAAATGCCAGATGCCCCACGAGGGCGGCCAGAACAGTGCACACCACCACCCAGAAGGCACCAACTGTACACGATAAACGGTAAAAAAATCACGTGTTCTTTATTGTTTAAAAACAAAAATCTTCATTCCTGGACAGAAAAACGCACGAAATCCACTTCGAAATCCAGAACGAAATTCTCCAGGACACCCCGGGCCCATCCTATTGTTTTCCGAGCGAAATCCGCTCTGCGATGTTGGCGCCATGACACCTGACCTCGCTCTGCCCCCCCGTGCAGGTGGTAGTGCTACCGCTACCTGTGGCGCCATCCACCCGCCACTCGGCGGCGAGACCCCCGGGGTGGAATGCCGAGGGGGAGGGCCTTCTCAGGGCGCAGCTCGGGCCTTCCGAAAGTCTTCCGAGGCTTCTCTTAGGTCGGGCATGTCGTCCTACACGAGGATTTCAAACGAAAACTCAAAAATTTCACAAAAAACTTCAAAAGTAGTCAAACATAACAGAAAGTCGTCCCCTGAATATGTTTTGATCTTTGTTGAATCTTCCTTCTGTAGAGGGACATGCCCGACTTGAGGCGTTTCCACTACGCAGATTGCTTCTAAGAAGGTCGGAGACGACCCACCGCCCTCTAAGAAGGCCTGCCCCCTCTCACTTCATATAGTGGTTTTTGCGTTGGTCGTCGTCGTCGTCGTCATCGTCGTCGTCGCCCCCGGGCGCACCGCCGAGCGACGATCCTCGGGGGCGGCCGCCAGGGGGTCTCCAAGAGAGGTGGGTGCAAATCATGGCTGGCGGCATCTGCGCGGCCCAGGGGAAGGGCCAGGGACGTATTGAACTAAGCAGGGGCGCCATGAAATCTGAGGAGATGTCAGGGCCCCCGCCATGATACCCACCCCCCCTGGTCATCACCCCCCTTTTTGCCGCCCCCGGGGTCGTCGTCGTCGTCGTCGTCGTCGTCGTCGTCGTCGTCGTCGTCGTCGTCGTCGTCGTCGTCGTCGTCGTCGTCGTCGTCGTCGTCGCCTCCGGGCGCGCCGCCGAGCGACGATCCTGGTTGGGCCCGTCCAGGGCCTGGGATCCGTGGATGTGTGGCCCCTTGGCCTCCGGGCAGGCGGGCACAGAAGAGCACAGAAAACCCCACGAGCACAGCGGCCTGCCCGGAGGTCCACAACTGCGCCTGGTGCTCGTGCTTCGAAGGGTTTGGCGGCGCGCACAAAGGGGCAATGTCAGCTTGTGATTAACAAATCCGTGGGGGCGCGCGTTGAAAACAATAGTTCCCCTGCTCGGGCGAATCGCGGGATAGCGCCCGCCAGATCGAAAATTAACGGGGCGGCGCCGGTGATTAGCGCCGACGCCCGGCCGCCAACGAGGTGCAAGGGGGGGTGTTTGGAGGCAATGGCGGGCCAGGGCTCAGCAGGAGGCAGCCTCTTAGAAGGCTCTGGCCCGACATATGTAGGCAAGGCCCGCGCCTTCTGAGCAGCACGGTGTTTCCTAAGAAGTCGTCCCCCCTCCCATTCGCGCGTGGATTGCTGTTTCTTTTGATTTGTTGGTGTTCCCCCTTCCCCCCTCCCCCTTTGTGCCTTTTTGTGTTCGTGTTGCGAAGGGCCACCCTGGTCAGGACGGCCGCCCGCGGGTCTCGGCAGGGCCGCCCGCGGCGACGACACGCCCGAAAACCGACCGATCGGATGTATAAAAGAAGCTCGATGGTTTTATCCTCCTCCCCCTCCTCCTCCTCCTCCTCCTCCTCCTCCTCCTCCTCCTCCTCCCCCTCCTCCTCTTCCAGGTGGGACGCAGAAGGACATACTGGTACGATGTGTTCTTCTTGGAGGCGCGCTTCCGACCCGAACACATCCTGAGCGCAGCCACATTGTATTATACATCGTTTCCCGCGCGGCACGGCCAGAAGACGCCCGCCACGGAGTTTATGCTATAGGATGTATCGGCGCGCGCGTCGCCCCTGGGGCTGCGACGCACACATAGTGTTAGTATGGTAGGGTCAACATGAGACCCTCCGCCGGCCGAAGCACACTGAACATCCTGGGGTGCCCTCCCCAAGATGCACAAGAGCACCCGACAAGCACGAAAAACACGAGGGCACACTCCCCGCACCGACCTCGATCTTATACCTCTGTCCGATTGTATAATGCATTTAAAAAAATGTGTTCTCAGTTTTTTGTTCGCCCCCGGCGAAGCGGCGAAATCCGTTCCAGCGTGAAGCCAGATAGGTGCACCAACTAGCGAAGGGCCTTCGAGCAAAGAGCGAAGGGGGACGACCGAAAGGAAGGAGGAACGCTCAGACGCCGAAGAACTCGAAGATGAGCAGCCCGGCGGGCAGCAGCAGCCGGGCGCGCAGGGCCAGAGCGCGGTGGGCGCCCGTGGCGACCGACGGCGGCAAGGGTGGCGGGGAGCGGCAGCAAGCCAGGGGTTCCATGCACTCCCAGACAAGCGGCGCCTAAAAAATTCTTAGACAGCGCAGCCGAACAAAAACAAACAAAAACAACAACAACAACAACAACAACAACAACAACAACAACAACCACAACAACAACAACAACAACGACAACAACAACAACAACGACAACGACAACGACAACGACAACGACAACGACAACAACAACAACAACAACAACAACAACAACAGCAACAGCAATAGCAGCAGCAGCAGCAACAACAAAAACAATAATTCTAAGACTGCTCGCTCCTATCTGTCCGCGTGGCATTCACTATGCATATCCCAAACCCTGGATACCTGCCCTCTTCGTCTTCGATCGTACCCCTCTTGGGGGGGTATATTTCTTCCTGGCCACGTGTAATTGGAGAAGCGCGGGAGGCGAACCCGCAATCAGAGGCAGCGAGCTCTGGCATTTGTCGGTGAGACCCCATTTCACTTGTCGCAAGCAGATATCAGCGGCAATCCACACTGAGACCCCACTTCGTTCGCCATAACGCTGGGGTCACTGCATGCAGGAAAGCGAAATACGGCAGTGGACAGTGTTGTTGCCCAGCGGCCCCGCGGGAGGTGAAGTCGGAGCCCGATGTCATCAATCACATTGCTGGGATTCGCGCGTGCGGGAATGTGATCAGCTATATACAATAACGAAGCGCCATTACTACAGCGCCAGGATCTGCTTGTGCGAAAAAAGGTAAGCTTCAGCAGCAGGCACTGGCGGGAGCGCCATTATGAGAGTTCAACGTAGCTAAATTGCGCGGGAGGTCCCAAGGGGGAGCGCCGTTCCTTGAGTAAATTGAGCGGAAGTCTCAGGCGGGAGCGGGGGTCCTGAGTAAATTGCGAGGAAGTCTCAGGCGGGAGCGCCGATCCTGAGTAAATTGTGAGGAAGTCTCAGGCGGGAGCGGGGGTCATGAGTAAATTGTGAGGAAATCTCAAGCGGGAGCAATTGTTGTTGTAATCCCGGGGGGCAACAACGCAGTTTGAGGATCAAGACTTTCCCTGTCAAAAAACAAGGTGCGAGCGTCGAGGGGCGCACTTTGACTGAGAAAAAACAGTGTGCACCGGTGGGGGGGGATCAACAAAAATTATTCTTCAGAAATGAGAGTTCAACGACGACGACGACGACGACGACAGCTGCAATAACAACAACAAGAACAACAGCTGCAACAACAACAACAACAACAACAACAACAACAACAACAACAACAACAACAACAGCTGCAACAACAACAACAAACGACCGACGGAGACGACGGGCCGCAGGCGGCCTCCGACAGGGCGCGCAGGGCCCCTTCGGCCGGGGCGCGACGGCCGACCGGACCGGAAGCGACCGAGAGCAGGCGGCTGCGGCGCGGCCGAGCCGACCCGAACCGCGGACACCCCATTATAGAGGCCTCCTCCTGCCATCGCTCGGACGTCCATTCCCTGTGCATTTTCCGGTTTCGTGCG